CCAAGCAAGCCCACCCAAGCACCACGCACCACCACGACTGTAAAGCACCCTCACTGCATTTTGAAACTCATTTTTTTCTTCAAAATAACATGCTTTGTTTTGTGGAAAATGTGTCCACTATAAACAAACCCAAACCCACCTTATATTTATTAAAGCAATTGGGTTTTTTCGGCTTTTAATTGGGTTTTTTTTTGGGCAATTCTGTTTTATTTGGGATTTTGTTTTAATTCAGTTTTTATTTGATTAGCTATTGGCATAAATTGTTAATTCGGTTTTTATTTTATTCGGCAATGGCACAGGATTGTTTTAATTGGGTTTTTTGTTTTTTTGACAGCTTTTTATCTTGTGTACAACGGATCCATTTAATTGTATTTGGATGTTTATCTGACTCAGAGAAGGAAAAGACTCACGACGTATCCAAATCAAGTTTGTAAGTTTCCGTATCTATTTGTTTTCAAGACACCGAGCCGCTATTTTTTTCAATTTTTTTTTGGAAATAATTGTATTAGTATTGTTTTTTTCTTTCATTAATCCTTTGAATTTGGACTTTAATAATGCGTTTGTATTTGGTTCTGAAATATTTATTCCGGTTTCACTAATTGATTATTTTTTTTTAGATTTGACGTCGTTCTTTATCGTACCCAGAATTACCTCATATGCATAAATGTCAGCATAATTTATCTCGACGTCGCAGGATTGATTATTACTTGCAACGAGGCGAAAGTTTCGACCTTTTTCTAGAGTTGGAGTTCGTCATACCCTGTTGGTCGACAGTGTCTTTATCTTCCCCTCATTGACTTCTTCAAGCAGTGTCGGATCGAACGAGGTATACTTTATAATGGTTTTAGTTGATTACGTTAACTTTGATTATTATATTGTGTAATGTGCTTGGTGATTCGTATGGTGCCCCAATGTTGGTTGTCCCTCACCGTACTGTCCTTAGATGGTGATTCTGTGGCTTGGTCTGCTGAGATACCCAGATTTCGGGTCCTGTTATCTGAGCGGGCGAAAATTCACATGGTACAGCAATAAAAACAGCTGATTACCAGAAAGTTGGACGACATATCATCATTGGCTGGCAGGAGACTCAACGTGACACAATTAGCCCTAAGTTCTTTCGCCTCGAAAACTTTATCAAGCATGGCGGAAATTGCTGCAACACACAGGATTCGGGTGGGATCAGGAGTCACAAAGTCCAACGTGTCCCGTTGAGGTTTGGCAAAGATATGTCAAGGTAAATTATCATATTTTTTAACTATGATTATTCAACGTCATTGTAAATATACGCATTTTTTCGGACTGCTAAATATTAATATATTATTCGTTTAACTTGTCAGCAAAACCCACTGGCGCAACAATTTTACCACAAGGGACTTCCCCACACAGGAACTTTATGAAATAAATTTGAGAAGCAAACTGCCACTTGGAAGATATGCGTACACATCTACATCCCAACAGGTGGAGCCCTCCAGTTATTCCAATCCCGGCTCGGTTCTATGGATGATAGCGACTTTGAACCTGATCCTGATCGTTTTGACAGGGAAAAACGGCCAAAAACACATCTGGTCATGGAGGAGCGAGAAATCGGAAGGCATAGAAGGCCCGGACATACAATTGCGGATGCCTTTTTAGCTTGAGGGATGAGCTGCGGAAAAGCGGACAATGGGATCCAGGGCTTCCGATCGTCCTAGAGATGAGAGGGAAGAAGCGAACACCAGTGCTCCATCGATCCTTTCTCATGAGCAATTGTATTGACATCATGACGGCCATGCAAGTACCGACACATTTTTTTATGCCGACTGTCACGTACTTGTATGAAAATCCAGGGTGGCGGAGATATTGTGAAACTCCCACTGGACGAAAAGGCTAACTGATTCACAAAACTTTTTCATAATTCGAGATGACACTATATTTCATAATTGTTTGGCAACAATTTTGGATCATCAGTGGGCAGTTGTCATTACAATTACAATTTATAACGCTACTGTATGAACTTATTTATGTGATATATAATGTGTAAACACTGTTTTAGATTGTCATTACAATTAATATTGACTGTTATATTTTTCAAAGTAGTACAACACTATTATTGTTGATAATGTTTTGCAAATGTGTAGTTTAAATGGCGTCGTCTAGCGTACAGAAGAAGACAACGTGCTACAGATGAGAGGGACGAAGAAGAAATACTAACAGATATAGCCATTGCACTATGCGGTGTTGCCGGTTTAGAACAAGTCGACCTCAACCACGACAACATCTGTATTACTGTCATCAGTACATGTTGGAAGTACTCAACGGTCATCCGGACATATCTATGACAAGTGCCCGCTGGACAGAGACTGTTTTACATTGTTATGTGAATTTTTGTCCGATCAAGGCAAATTGCAACCAACACGGAGGACGAGTTTAGAAGAACAAGTTATGATATTTCTAACAATCGTTGGAAAAAATGAGACAATCAGAACGATGATGGAGGATTTCCAAAATTCGGGTGAGACGATTTCTAGACAGTTACCAGTTTGCGATGCTATATGTGAGTTGAAGACGAGTTTATCAGACCCACCTGACTTCAATATGTTCCATGGGAAATATCACCAACAAGAAAATATACCCTTTCTTTAAGGTACTGGTTCATTATGTTGGTATTAGTAGATAGTTAAGTTCATTGTATTATTAATTTGTTTGTAGGTTATTTTGTGAATGACTCATTTTCATGATAGGACTGATTGGAGCCATAGATGGCACACATGTATACGCTTCGGTTCCACGTGAATTTGCCATTAGGTATCGGAATCGCAAAGGATCGATGTCACAGAATATATGCTGTATGCGACTTTAACATGATTTCACTTATGTCGTTACTGGATGGGAAGGATCAGCCGCATGATTCAAGAGTTTTAAATTCAATTATTGATGATCCTAATTCGGATTCCCATATCCTCCACCAGGTATAATATTTTCTTGACGTATTATAGCGTATTACATCCACTGTTGAGGCCCTGTAATTCAAATAAATGTCTGTTTTATACGGAAACATTTGGTTGATGCGGGTTATGCAAATAGGATGGGTTCCTCGCCCCTCATAGGCAAGTGGCTTCCCATATTTCTGATCACCGCTAACCGAAGGGCCACAAGAGTTGTTTAATTACAGCCATGCTTCACTCCGCAATGTTATCGGAGAACCTTTGGTGTTTTGAAAAAACGGTTCCGTATTCTAAATGGAATGAACAATTATCCGTTGACAAACAAGGGAAGATTGTCAGCATGTTGTGTACTTCATAATTTTATAAGAATGTACAATATGGACGACCGTATCTTCGAACAAACCAATAATAGTAGGGTAATGAGCAAGCATATTGTGATCATCAAAACGGGCAGAATATGCCAAATGGAGAAGGATCGAGTCAACCGCAACAGTATTATAGACAACATGATGACTGTACGGATACATAACGAAGCCTGTGGGTAGCACAGTGGACCATGTCATAGTTGTTAATGGAGTATACGTTGTAATATGATTGTAAGGGTTGATTAGTATTTTTGTCTATATGTTTAATGTGATATTTTTAAACAGTTGGATTACTACTTGAAATTAATATGGTTTTTTTGTTTTTTAATATATACGGGTAACAGAATTACCAATAAAATATTTTATTATTAAATGTGAGGTGATAAGTTATATATATATATATATATACATTATTTTAACAAAATACAAAAAATATTATATTAATAATCATTTATAAACAAATATATTAATCAAATATTCACACAAATATCAAGGTCAAAATACTCTACCAAACACATATTCAGAAAATCATATTTTCGTAATCATAACCTATCCAACATCCAAGACTATCCTCAAATCCTACCCAAAATACTAAACCAAACGCACCATAAGTGTTTTTAGGTAACCTTACAGTCTTTTAAAAATAAAAAATAAAATAAATAAAATGATTTTATTTTTTTGGGTCCGGGGTATTTACATTTTACATCCATAAATTTTCTTTGATAATCATAATCTGTAAATAAATTCGCATGATCAGAAGTGAGAAAACATGAGAAGAAAATTCGTGTACTATATATTACAATAATGAAAAAAAAATTTCGTGCAACGAATGTACATAAAATTTGTTAATGAGAAAATCCGTATATGATATGTTTATTAACATTGCATTATCTCAGTAGTGGCGGATGTAGAATTTTTGCTGAGGGAGAGTAATAATGTAATAACATAATATTTTCTCACTTGAATAAATATATGAGAAATAAAATTTTAAGTAAATGTGTTAAGTAAACCTTGAGCAAAACCCTCTTTTAATTTTTGGCTTCCAAAGGTTATTATATCAATTTTTATGACTTTGATAAGCTAAAATCAACCAAAATTTAAATTAAGTTAACATTACGTTTGATTTTAATATGAATTAATAAAAAAAATAGGAAATTTTCTTGTTATAAACATAAATAGTACTCAAATTTTTTAAATAATTTTAAATATCTAAACGGTGCCGTTTGAAATATAGGAAAGTGGTAGGTGAAGGGTGAAGAATATTGTCTTTTAAAATATAGTTAAGGTTTTAATTTGAGAAAGTATGTTTATTTGAAACATAAAACATAAAATAGACTTACAAGATTATGTCTTTTTTTTTTACATTAAAATAAAAAACTTTAAAAAAAATATATAATTTAATTATAAAATAAATTAAATTGAAGTGAAGAATATATATATTTAAAACAGATAAAATAGAAAACGAAACATATATATTAATAACAAATTTTTGTCGGCCGATTTATTAATATATTTTTTTTTAAACCTGAGGATGGGACCGGCCTATCCTGGGGGTGGATCCGCCTCTGCATGCCCTTATTGATGGATTATGAAACGTTTAGTGCCTTCATTAGTCGGTTATATGTATTAGTTGCATATAAGACTTTTTTTTTTTTTTTTTTAATAAATAAAGTATAAAAGGTTTTCCGTTGTTTACTAGTTCGATTAATATTACTATAAAAACATAAATTTCAACAAAAAAGTATCCCGACATATTATGTCATTCAATCATAACAAATATCTATAGTACTGCAGGGTACCCATACCATCGACCAATACATTGTTGCCACATAGATTATTCAGAAAAAAAGAAAATATTAATAGGTGGTGCAAATGCGTTGGTGGGTCGTATAAATGACATGGTGCCCCTTGATATTCTATATTTTTTTCCCTAGTCATTGATACATCATGTGTGGGCCATTGTTTATTACTATTCGGCCCGAAATTCAATTTCTGTTCTTTAAGTAAGCCCAACCCAAGACTAAGTCCATTTCATTACTTAAAAAGCTCGATGACCAGTAGGTCCACCAATTCCTGAATCAACGATCCTAATGAATTGTATGATGATCCATTTTCCATCACGCTCATCCTAGCTTTCTCCTTCATCTCTTTAACCTTTCGCCTCGCCTCATCACCACCGTCCATCAAGCGTTTCAACGCTCTCCCTAATTCATTCCCTGACACCAGATTGGTAAACTCCTTCCTGGAATCCAATCTAACCTCCACCGCTAATCCTAATTCCTTCACCAACTCAAATGCATTCATTTGTTGCTCAGCGTAAAGCGGCCACGTGGCGATTGGTACGCCGTACCAAAGACTCTCTAACACCGAATTCCATCCGCAATGAGAGACAAACCCTCCGATCGCTTGATGAGCCAAAATTGTCACTTGTGGAACCCATCCACATACTAATCCAATCCCAACCGTCCGATCCAAAAACCCGTCGGGTAAGACCTCCTCGATGTTCGCGTACTCGTCAGGAAGGTCTACTTTACCCGTAGATGGTTTACGAATTGACCATAAAAACCGAAACCGGGTTCGCTCCAACCCGATCGCAATCTCTTTGACTTGGGGTCCACCAAGACTTCCCATGCTCCCAAAGCACAAGAACACTACCGATGATGGAGGTTGATCATCAAGCCATTTCATGATATATTCTTGATGAGTCCGGTCTGGGTACCACTGAACCGGTCCAACAAGGTCAAGAACCGGTCCAATTGGAAAAACCGGCGGTGTCCCACTCCCAGAAATTGACCGGATTGCAAACGGTTCAAGTTCTTGAAACGTATTTACAATAATACCATTGACTTCCTTATACTTACGTGCATGTCGTAAATACCATAAATACCCATCTTGCCCTTGCCCTCTTCTCAACACAGATGAAGGTAGCACGAAATGAGGTAATGGGTTGGCAAAACTCGGTATCGTGAACTCAGTTGACGAGTCTCTTGGGACGAACAACTCAGTACCCGAGTCAACGAACTCAGTAGCCAGCTGGGCTTCTAGCGCTGGGTAATTCAGCATAAATCCCAGAAAACTCGCCGGAGAAGCGAAGTAAAGATAGCAAGGAACACCGAGCTGGCGAGCGACCTCAATCATGGACGTACAAAACATGTCAACAAACAACCCAGCAACTCGGACTGAGTCACTCATCGAGTCAGAGTAACCAGCTTCCATGAGATCGAGGATCACATTTCTGACGTGGGGCTTGTGCTTCTCGATGAAGAGAGAGAGGTAGCCCAGAGTTCCGGTGTACTGATCGGGTGAGGGCGGATCCACAGTAGGGAGGTAAACGAAAGTGATGCGATCATCATCAACGGCGGAGGTGGCTTGTGATTTGACGTATGACTTGACTATGTGGCGTTCTTCGACGGTGATTATGAGAACGGTGGCGGAAAATCGAGGGTCACGAGTTGTTAATAGACGGGCGAACTGAACGAGTGGGATGAGATTGCCCATTTCGGGAGTACAGATGAGGAAAACGTGGAATTTGTTCATGGCTTAATTAGTTTGACTGAAGGCTAATCACTGATTCACTCGTGGCTAATTAATATAAGAGCAAAAGTGTATGATGATTTGATTGATGCATGAATGTGACAATTTGATAAATTTATATAAAATTAGTTACTTGATTGACAAGAATTTAGACTTAATTAAAAATTTAACTTGGTTGACAAGAATTTGGATTTAATTAAAAATTTCACATATTTAATCTAAGAATTTAAAACTAATCTGATTTAATTACAGGTGGTATAGTTTAATTTTTTATTATTTGAAGGTTGATATATTCTGTTTTATTATGGACGGTCTCATCACATAATTAAGTAAATTATAAGACTGTCTCGTATAAATATTTTTTTAGTTAGGAAGAAAGAGAGTGTCGATTGGTGGGTGATGGTGTTTTGCAATGGTGGCAAGTAGTTGTTCAGGAAGGTTGTGATGCAAGGCCCCATGAGTTGATGCAACATTGTCAGAATGCCATGAATTTTGATAGGGCACTCCGAAACGGCCAAAATAGCAAAACTCATGTTTTAGCCTTTTGGGGTCATTTTAAAAGGTTTTTGGACATTTTGATGATTTTAGGGTTGTTTTTTCGAGTTTTTTTATGTTTGGGTACTGTTTGTGATAAGTGTTAATTTCCTTTTCCTTTCCTTTGTCTTTTCAGATTAGGATTTTTAACGGAAACTGTTTAATGGTTGTTTCAGCCCTAAGAACGCAGTTCTGTTACTTTTATTTTAATGAAATATTGAAAGCCCTAGATGGTATTCATATATCCGATATTAGAACTTGATATAATTCGGTGATAATTTATTGTATCTGGTTTCTTACGTTCAATCATCTCTTATTATTTCGGCATCGGACTGTTTAAATGAGATTCCTTAAGAATAATGAAGCAGCTTTGGACTTCACGTAGGTGCATGTAAGACAGCCAAGACTATCCGTAAAAACCACCAGGAGTAAACTGCAAACATGCCGGCGGCTGAGCTCTCACAATACATTTAGTTCAAACAGTAGCCCTCACCGGGAAAAAAAGGGAAAATTCAAAATTAATAGGTTATTGAATTAGTTAAAGTCTGCCCCCTAATTTAAATACAGAATATTGGAAGTGGTGGTAGCTTTTGATTTCACTGGCTGGCGCAAAGCCGACCAATTTGGCAAATTCCTGCAATATAATTCTTTTTTTTTACTTTAACAAACAGACCAATTAATCACTGAACCACTTTGGTCTAATACATATGCATCCGACCAGTCACGAAGGTATACGAATAAATGTATGATTAAGATTAATTCAACCAAAGTGGGAGGCCGAAAAAATCAGAATAGCCCGAGAATCTGAGAGTTTCCTAACCTTACCGTCAGTATGGTAAAGATTCAGAATCCACAGTTATGATATTTTCCGTGGTGATCAAAGCTAGAACTTCTGTTTGGATAAATAATATCTGTAAAAACCAGGATATGTAAGGTCCATGCCTAATCACCTTTTTGTCGACATTTCTCACAACTCAGTTTCTTCCTTGTCATATCTTGTCATAGCAGAATATCCTTCATTAGTCTCATCAAGATTCTTGGAGAAATCAATTTTGCAGAAGGAGGATGTTGCCATGTTTTTATGCGATAGCCATAAGGGTATTTTCCATTACCTTTAATGGTGGCAGCTGGTATAAGTATGTATGATTTAGTTATTTCCAGCAAGTTCAAGGATGTTAATTTGACAAGTATTTAAAGCGATATCCAGAGATGGGATCTTTGATTTGGACTCTACCTGATTCTGACTGATTTTCAACTCTGATAAACATGTCTGGCAGGTTTTCTTCTCGATGGGCTCCATGGCGTAAACAGTGGACTCGACGAGGAAAAACTGGTCACATGGCTAAGATTTGGGCCTCGGAAGAAGTCAGAGGTGGTGAAAACAGAGGGTGGAAATATGAGTTCCGGAGGAGGAGGAATTGGAGATCGAAAAAAACGACGAACAGCACGAAAATGAAGAATGTCGAATCGGGTTTGGGGCGTTTTGCAATGGAGGCAGTATGTGTTGAGGAAGACTTGTACAATCGGGTGTGAACGACCGTGTCCATCGCCGGCTGGCATAATTGGCAAAGAATAACAGGACAAACAAGAAAAAGAGGGAGAAAAAATATGTTGTCTATAAATAATGAAGCGGCTTTGGACATCACCGGCGGTGCATGACGGCCAAAACTCTCTGTAACACAGCCAAGATACACAAATTGCTTGCTTATTTCACTATTTGATTCAATTGAAATTTAAACGATCACACAAAAGAAACATTTACATTAATTGGGCTAAAACCGGCTGATGATGACCACAGCCACATTGGTGGAGGCCAGAAAAGGTTAGAATTCTGGAAAATTTGAGAGTTTTCTAACGAGACCATCTTTCAAGTCAAAAATCCTGACGCTGCTCCGGGGTAACTATAGTTTGGGTTACGATAATCATCCAGGAAATAAAACAATTCCCTTTACATCCAGAGAACTCTTTAGCGGAAACAGAGTATGAACCGTCTCGATCATAACACCATTCTATCCTCCAACTCTAATTCATCCACCACCGGAGCCCACTGACATGTTTCTTGGTCAAGCTTGAAAACCTTAAAATGATCATGATTTTTCCGGATTCTCTGTACTTCCCAATCAAAAGCAAATCCTTGAGTGACTCAACCAAGCATAGCAAGATTATCAACTGCGAATTCGAGTCCTCTGGCGGGCTGGGTACTTCATTAACAGTCAAAGATTTTGAATCCACACTTTAGTAACACCCCTGGAGACAAAACATAGAATTTGCGATTATGATAAATAATATCCAAAATATATCCAATGACTCGAGGTACATTTCTATATTAGTCCATTTCTTGTCGAAGTTTCTCCACACGTCAGGCTTCTTCGTCCGAATTTCGCCATAACAGCGAATCTCATCAGTCTCATCAAGATGAGAAGTGAAAATCATTTTTCAGAGACAGAAAAATCCTTTGGATATACCTTGTATGGGTACTGGGTACAAAGAAACCGGTAGATATAAGTCTAATTGATTTAGTTATTTCTTAACTCGTAAATCCAACAGTTCAAAGACTTGGGTAACTTCTTGGACAGTTATTAAAACGAATTCCGGAGAGCGGATCCTTGATCTGGACTCTGCTGGTTGCGACTCTTCGACTTTGATCAACCATGTTTGAGAGGTTTCGGTTAAGGGGCTCCATGGCGTAAATGGTGGACTCAGAGGGGAAAAAGAGTCTACCGTGAGGATTCGGGCCCTGAGGAAGTCAGGGGCGGTTAAAATTGGAAGGAAACAGGACTTTTGGGGGAGGAGGAAGTGTGCACCGAAACAAGCGACAAACGGCGCGAAACGGAGGAGGTCGATTCGTGTGCGGAGGAGTTTTGCAATTGAGATGAGAAGGTGGTCAGGAAGACTGGTCCAGTCGGGACTGGTGTTTCCATGGCTGCTTTGGTAATTGTTTACATGGCTGATTTTTGGTTAAGAAGAACGTGAGGAAGAAGAAGATAAAAGAAGTTATTTTATATTTGGAAAGAGAGGTACTTTGACTTTACAGGCTGGTTGGAGCCGACCACTTGGCAGTTCCTGGAATTTTTTTTTTTCTTTTTTGAATTCAACAAACCGACCATTTGGCAGATTCCTGGAATTCTTTTTTTTCATTTGGAATGGTCTTAGTAAATTATTATTAGCCAAAAGTTAAGGTGGAAAACAAACCCGTCCGGCCCGGCCCGCTACGGGTAAAAAGTTGTGCGGATTGGGTCTAACCCGTCTGCCAACAAAGGCAGGCCGGGTTAGGCCTACCATTTTGGAGAAAATGGTTGGTCCAGTCTGGCCGTCAACCCTTACCCGTCGGGTTAGGTGCGGTCCAGGTCGGGTTAGCCCGATTTTTTTTGTTTTTTTAATTTAACTTTTCAAATAAATAATTATAAATATAATTGTTTTAGTTAACTTTTCAAAAATCAATAATTCAATTCAATTCAAATTTTTTTTTTTTGGTTACATTTCAAATATTAATTCAATTTTAATACAATAAAATTGTAATATAAGAAAAATTAGACTTATTCATTTATCAAAAAATAAAATAAGAAATTACAACAATTATTGTCTCGTTAAAAACCTCACCAAGTAAAACCCAATGGGAGAAAAACTTGGTAAAGAAAAAGAGTGCAATAATTGACATAATTTACAATACTTTACAAAACAACTAATTTGGGGGTGGTTCACTAGGACCTCCTTTTCTGTATCATAATATTACAAAATGAAATTCTACTAAAGAATTGTCAATATCTCGTATTGATTTGATGGCGCGACGTTCCTAATCTCGAAGACATGTGAGGACTTCAATCATTTTTGGAGCAAGTTTAGTCCTCTTTTCATTTAAAATCCTCCACTTGCATAAATGTTTATTCGGATGAGACGGTTGAGACAGGAACTGCGAAAACATCCAAGGCAAGTTTTGATAATACCGGAAAAAAATCATTCTGGCTCTCCAATACTCAAGATATCAAAGTGACCTGTTGAAAACATTTTGGAGGTTGCCAAATATTGTGAAGTTCATTACTCTGCGACATCCATGGAGGACAGTTGTAGATTAGTTGTGTGTGTGTGTGTTGGTGGTGGTGCTTCTGAAGAGGAGGTTGTGCTTCGGATTCGGGTCCTCTTCGGCATTCAGTGCATTCCAAGAGTATAAGTCTTCATTTGTTGTTTCTTCTGATACAGCTTCTCTAGATATTACGCTCTTTGCGAATGCGGGTTCCCATACCTGTTTTCTATTGGATTACTTCGAAAAGACTATTTTTTACCTCTCTATTTGATTGACATATGATTCGATTTGTAAATTTCACTTAAATTGTTTAAAACCATTTTCTAAACGTGCTAATTAATTCTAGGAGCAAATATGCACCTAAACAATAAAGAAAAGGAATGGGTTCCCAATATTTCAAAAAAAAATTTCCATTGCCTTTATGGTGCATGTAAAATTTCATTGTCTTTGTTTTTGTAAATAAGTCGGAATTTTTATATTAATGTATTACCAAGGACTAGTAGGATAACATACTAGAAAGTTGTAAAGTGGATTGGTAAAAACATTTGAGAAAGAATGAAATACTTTACCTATCTTCCAATCATTTTCTACCAAATAATGAGAACCTCATTATTTGCTACAAAATAACTAATTATATTGCATAAGGTATACATGAATCAAGCATTAAAAAGTACTATTCCATCTAATAGGCATATCTAATGGAAAAGTTCTAGGAGACATATTTGATTTTATACAAGCTTCTTGAAATTCAGCATTTTTATTACTACTAGTAATCCAAGCTAAAGATTCCCAATTCTATCAATATTTTTTTAATGTTTTCATACCACTTTTCACAATTAAATTAATAACATGACATGCACAACGTTGGTGAAAAAACTTCAAATTGTTATATAAAGGATAATTATTTGAAAAAAATCTATAGCTTTACTATTAGAACTTGCATTATCTAAAGTTAAACTTATCACATCAATAATATCATAATCTTTAGACTTCAACAATTTTATTATAGATTCTAACCACTATGATCCACATCCATTAATCTAAATCCTAATAAAGATTTATTAATTTAAATTATAAAATAAGACTAGTCACACAAATATAATCTTGTTAGCTCTACCACTCCAAATATCGGCAGTAGAGCCACACTAATAGACTAGTACACAAATATAATCTTGTTTAGCTCTACCACTCCAAATATCGACAGTTAGAGCTATAATAATATGACAAGTATGAAATTTATTTTTAATTCTAATTTCATTTTTTTTAAAATTTATAAATCATTTCTAGTTGCAGTTTTAGAAAACTTTAAATCCTGGAAAAAATGAATTTTGAATAAATCTTTCAAAATATTTATCTTTGCCATATTAATAGGTTGATCAGATGCAGCATCATATAAAGCTAACTGGTCCCTATATACATCAGAATTATAACGCAAGTAGTATCATATTAGTTATTTGAGTTTGATTGCTTTCTCTATTTCCATGTTGATTAATATGTTATTAGCATGTCTTTTTAAAGTACTAGTAAATTACCTGAATCAGCTTTATAAACATTTGCACAATATTTGCATCTTGCTTTCTTGACTTGAACGTCATTTTCTATCTCGTAAAACTTGTCGAAATGCGCCCAAACGTCTGATGTGTGTCTGTCTTCGCTTTCGACGGCAGTTGATGATCCCGCCTCAGCTTGAGATGAAGACGACGATTACGAGGACGACTTCTAGAACCACCGGGAGCTGTTGGAATCGATGGCATATTTTGAGGTGTATCGGATTCTGAGACTGGGATTGGGACATCGGGACTATTTGAATCTCCTGCATTCATAGTAAAATCAGCGGAACTAGGACTAGGATAATATTTTTCTTCATCATTGAAATTGAGGAGAGAGAAATATCTATCCATTATAGTTGAAAAAAAAAATTGATGTAGAAGAAATAAAAATTAAAGAAAGAGAATTGGAATATGGAAATTGGAATTTTGAAAATTGGAAATATAAATTAAAAATTGCAAAAACTAATAAAAATTAATCCATTGTAGTTGAAAAAAAAAATTGATGTAGAAGAAATAAAAATTAAAGAAAGAGAATTGGAATATGGAAATTGGAATTTTGAAAATTGGAAATATGAATTAAAAATTGCAAAAACTAATAAAAATTAATCCATTGTAGTTGAAAAAAAAAATTGATGTAGAAGAAATAAAAATTAAAGAAAGAGAATTGGAATATGGAAATTGGAATTTTGAAAATTGGAAATATGAATTGAAAATTACAAAAACTAATAAAAATTAAAATAAGAGCAAATTGATAACAAAAAGATTAAGAGAATAAATGAATAATTGAGAGAATAGAGATTAGAGAATATGAGAGAATTTGAGTTGTGAGAAAAATATGAGAGTTTAGGGCCAATTTATAGAAAAAAATGGGGAAAGAAAATGACGAAAAAAACCCCTCCAACGGCTATAAAACGGCTATATTTCAAGGGTAAAATGGTAAGTTTAAAAAATAAATAAATTTTATAATTTTTTTAATTTATTTTCGGCCAACCCGTGGGTTGGCCGTTGGCAACAACCAACCCGACGGGTTGGCGGTCCTCCTGCAGAGAGGACAAAATAGCAACCCGCAGGCCCCCGGGTTGCCATTTTACAACCCGGTCTGCCCTGGGGTTGCTGGCGGGTTAAACCCTCTTTATTACGGGCCGGGTTAGGGTTGACCCGCTTAACCCGGCCCATTTGTTCCACCTCTAGTCAAAAGCAATTAAAAGCCGACCCGCGGGCCAACCCGACCAAGCAACCAAGTCATGGGTTTGACAGGTCGAACGGTCCGACCCAGTCATACCGCAATATAGTATGCTGACATCAGCATGATGATATCATGCTAACATCATCATGACATCAGCAAAAAAAAGTTAAAAAAATTTACAGATTTTAATTTTTAACATTGATAATCAAAATTTCTCTAAACAAACATATAATAAAATTAAAACTACCAGTATGCAACATACCAAGTTATAAAGTATAAACTATGGTGTGGCAAAAGAGGAGGCAATCAATTTTTTGACCCTATACACGGACATAATCATCACGTGTCTTTTTGTATAAGCTCGCTGCTGTTCCTTCAAGCAAAATTTTAAGATTCTAAATTCTCAATCTCGATCCCTTTCTACATCAATCATCAAATGGGGTTATAATGTTTCCACTCAATTTTTTTTTTTTTTTTTTAAATATTTGTCACTCATTCTGGATGGAATAATATTTGCCCCATAGCATTGGAGATTTCTAGATTTCACTCATAAGGATCTTGAATTTAAGGCTGAAATCTCCTCCGATGCAAAAACAAGAAACATACAGAAAAAAATATATGTCAATGTAGATCCAGTCAGCTTAAAGCAGTCCAGTCAACTTATCGAGTCGAACTACTTTTGGTTAAGATCACTGTAATAGACTGATATTTAGTCATGCAATGCAGTATACAATCTTATTGGCAAGTTTATGTTTGACTTATTTGGAAGGATAGAAATATGCGCTTACTTCACGGACATGAAAACTAACCTTATTCGATTCAAGGATGCAATTGCTCGAAGGGCACTGCGAATCATGTCTTCATTACGATCTACTTCTTGCTTGACAGCATCTTGCCTTGGCTTAAAATTGATAGTCTTTTGAAGAGGTTCCACCAATGAATCCAGCACTGAAATGGGACTCTCAGAAAATTAAAACCAAATTCAGAAAGTACTATTAGTTACATCACTAACCTGCTAATACAGCAGATGGACATTTATCTGCAAGCTTAGAAAGAATAAGATGACAAGACATTTTAACATCATAATGATCTGGAGTAAGAGCAAAAATCAGTGTGAAAATGCACACCCAGTTGCAAAACTGGGTGTGAAAATGCACACTGTGTGCATTTGCACACCCAGTTTTGCACTGCAAAACAGAGTGTCAAAATGCACACTGCAATCCGTTTTTGCACACTGCACATAACCAATAAAACCAACCATTTTTACACACTTAAATTTTCAAACACAACCAATCTTACACCAAACAATCACCTCTTCAGTATCAAGTTTCAAACTCACCTCTTTAATATCAAACAATCTCTATGACTCTATCTCAAACAATCTCACAGCAAAACAAAAATCAAAGTTACAAAGAACAATAACAATAACAAGTTAACAACAATGAGATACACATACCTTGTGGGAGCTGCCGAAGATCGAAGAAGTTATCAAAACCGAATCTGGAAAATTAGAGATTTAGAAGTTGTCAAAGGCCTGAAGATTGAAGATTAGTTGAAGATTGAAGATTATTGAAATCAGAATCAAAGAAGGCCAAGATCGTAGAAGCTGATTTCGTTTTTGGTAATGGGTTTTTGATTTTTCTTCTCTCTGGTGTTGGGTTTTGTTGAATAAAATTGGGAAGGGAGTAGAGAAAAGCTGAAAATGAAAAGATCAACAATTCGTCGTAAAAAAATCGGTTCAACCGCGGGTTTTAATTGGGAAGGGAGTAGAGAAAAGTTTTAATTTTATTATTTTAAAATTTTAATTATTTTTTTATACTTTACTTTAGTTTGACCGGGTTTATACAGGTTGGATCAACAATTCGTCGTAAAAAAATCGGTTCAACCGCGGGTGAACACGGGTCCGCAAATAAACACAGGTCAATTTTTATTTTCGGTTTTTTATATGAACTAACCTCGCCTAGCCATTGGTTTCCAGTTGAACCGGCTGGAATGGGCTGGGTTTTAAAACCATGATTTTGGCCATTGACACAAGCTTGCATTAGTATTACGTATTCGGGGCAGGGGCGACATAGAAGTAAATTGGGGATCAAGCCAAAACATTAATACAAATACAAGAATGTTAAAAGTAAAAAATCAAATTAAATGAACGAAAAACAGATTTGAGTGGGTCACTAGCCCCCACTCATTTTAACGTGGGTCCGGCCATGTATGTATTGATTGAACCGTAAGCATGAAGGTAAGAGAAAACTTCAACAAGTGCTGGAATTAAATTTTCAGGTATGCAGAATCCATTATGCAAACAGAAGAGAATCAAATAGAACAAATAAATATCTTTTTTTCCAATTGAAATTGGAGCAAATCGAACAAAGTCCACGAACCTACAAGGTGTTGGAGGCCAGAAAAGGTTAGGAAAATCAGCAATTCTCTTAACAGAATGACCTTTTTTAAGTAAAAAAATCTTTCAATTCCAATATATATAAGTCCATTTATTGTCAACATTTCTCAACACAATAAGCTTCCTTCCTCCATCTGCCGACATAGCAGCAAACCCTTCATCAGTTTCATCAAGACACGTAGTGAAACTCCGTCTTTCAGAATAAGAATAGAGATTTGGGTCCACAAGAGGGAGATTTCTTGCACTTTTGGGATATGCGAGAACTGTCGTAGTTTTGGTATGATTTGATTATTTCTGTAACCTGATAATGCAGCAAGTTCAAATACTTTGGTAACTCAGGCAAATTGTCAAAAGGACATCCGAATATGATACCAATGATTTGAAGTCTACCAGGTTCAGTCTCTTCGACTTTGACTAACCATCTCTGGGATGTGTCATCGTGCCAATTAGAGATTTTTTTAAGGGGTTGGATAGCGTAAATAGCGAACTCGATGAGGTCATCACCCATTTCTGGCCCTCTGAGGAAGTCGATGCTCGTCAAAATAGACTGTGGAAATAAGATCCTTGGGGGAGGAGGAAGTGCAGATCGAAATGAGCGACAAATGGCCCGAAAATAAAGCATTTAAATTCGTTTGTGGAGGCGTTTTGCAGTGAAAGTAAGGAGCTCTTCAGGAAGACTGGCCCAATCGGGTATGACCTGATCCATGGCTGGCAAATTCACAAAGAAGAACTCTTAGAAGAACAAGAAAATAAAGAAAAGGTTATCTCTGAAATGAAAGAGGAATTCCGAACCATGAACTAGTGAACTGAAATGATTTTAAAGGAAGATAATAAAAATTGTCACAATTCAAACACTTATATGGTAATAATACGAATAGTCTTAGTTAACGGAGAGATTAAATAATTAATATACGGTGATTTTAGACTTATAAAGTTAGCAATACAAACAAATAGTCACAATTAGTGGAGAAATCTCCATGGTTTCAACAAAAAATGGGCTTTCTCAATTTTGCTTAAACCATCCTCCACGTGAGGAAAACCTGAACCCAACATTTTCATTGTCAAGGGGTTGGATGGCGTGAACAGTAGACACGGTGAGGACAAAAGGGGTCTTCGTCGTTAGGATTTGGACCTTTGAGGAATTCAGTTGTTCTTAAGATTGATTCTGGGAAAAGGGCTTTTGGAGGACGACGAATTTAGGTGGCATTTAAATAACACCACTCTTTTAAAAACTATTTATTGATATTTTTTATTTTTTGGATTTTTAATGAATGTTTGAGAATTTCTAAAAGACTTTACTCCTTCGGATTTTCACTAACAAATTTTATTCTTTTTCTAATTGTTATGCCTGGGAAAATAAAGGGCTGACGTGGGAAAATCGTGTGAAGGGCGACCTGCTCCCGTCAGAGCAACACGCACACGTCAGACCTGCCACATGATATGGAGCTCACACGCGTCCGTTTCCCTGCAGCAAATCGTGCGAAGTCAGCTTGGGAAGAGGGCAATGGGACATAAAGCCGGATTATATCCTGACAATCACACCAACCCATGAATTTAATGATGATTACACGCTTCAGTTTGATATAAAATGAAGAAGACCCCTTCATTAAGGGGATTCGGCCATTCTTTACATGAAAAAACTCTCTCTCTCTCTCTCTCTCTTGTAAAAAACACTTACTTTTCATAACTCTTATGTACGTCAGTCCGCTTCGCGACCTGACCCACACTAATATCAATACAAATCTGTGGACGTAGGACTTGCTACCTTAGCATCCGAACCACTTTAAAAGTCTTCTTTGCATTTATTTCACTTCATATATCCATTATCACGTGTGTTAATTCATCAAATAGTAATACCCACGTGACAATTGGTTGGTGCCAAAAACGAGCATCAACACTAATCTAACTCTTAAAATCTTCTTGAATAAATTTGAGCAACACCTTTATGAATTTCGGCCATTGACAAAAGCTTGCATTAGAATTCATTTCCAAATAAAGCTCAGAGAAAACTTCCATAACTCCTGGAATTAAAATTTCAGGTATGCAGAATCCATTATACCAACAGAAGAGAATCAAATAGAACAAATTAACATGCATTTTTCAATTGAAACCGTAGCCAATCGAACAAAAAACACTTACATTTGCAGCTGAGCCTGAGCAGGCACTCACTTTCCAAGTACCCAACCTGGTGGAGGCCAGAAAGGGTTAGGAAAATCTACAATTATCTCATAAGAATGATCCTTTAAGTTATAAATACCAACATCTAGATCATATGGATCAAGAGTTTCATCGTCAACATCATCGGACAAATTAGGTACAATCTGATATGAATTTCTGAAATAAATATAATTCCCTTTATACCCAGAAAACTCTTCAGCCACAATCGAATATGAACTTCTTCCACTCACAAAGAGAACTCTATCCTCCAACCCATCAGTCACCTGTACCCACTCACCATTCTCTTCATCAAGCTTGAAGACCAAAATACAGTCATCCCCAGTAAGTGTTCTACCTTTGTGCCAGGCAATCAAAAGTAAATCCTTGGGTGACTCTACCAAGTATAGAAGCATCAAAATTTTCAGATCTTTTGGGTACGGAACCTTCACAACATTCAAAGATATAGTATCTACAGTTACAGTAGAAGCCGTGCCGATAAAAGTATAAAACTTGTGATTGCGATAAACAATATCAAAAAGAACCTCAGGAAACTCAATCTCAGCACTGTCTATTTCAGTCCATTTCTTGTCTACATTTCTCCACACACATAGCCCTTTGTCTATAAATTTCGCCACAACAGCAAACCCATCATCAGTCTCATCAAGAAAAGAAGAAATAACCAGTTTTGCAACAACAGAAGATTTTCTTGACTCTCTTTCGTTGCCATCGTTGTCATCATCAGAGAGTACTTTGGCTTTACCTTTATGGATAACAGCTGATTCAAACACGTAAGATTTACTTATTTCATTAACTCGATAATCCAACAAGTTCAAAGACTTCTTCGGCAAGCTTTTATAACGAAATCCAGAGAGAGGATCCTTCATTTGGGCTTTTCCTGAAGTTGTCTCTTCGACTTGGACCATCCATGGTTGAGACGCTTCATCGTCAAGGGGCTGGATGGCGTAAACAGTAGACTCTGTGAGGACAAAGGGGTCTTCGTTGTCAGGATATGGACTTTTGAGGAAGCCAGTCGTTCTTAAAATGAATTTGAGCTAAGGATCGATTAAAGAAAATAAACAACTAAAAGGAAGCACAAATTCAGAATGAAAGATGAAGGAAGGAAGAAGAGACAGAGGTTAGATTCAGAAAGAAATATGAATGTATTGATGATTTTTCCCTTTCACTTTATGTGTTAATTATAACTGTGTTTATATACACTTTAGAATGTAATCTTGTACAATCAAAGTTGCAGATATTGTGGGATGCAGATTGCAGGTTTGAATTAATCTGCTGAACTGGTCTTCTGAAGATTATGGGGAGAGAAATCTGCACTTCCATTTTAGGTAGTTTTGAGCTCAGTCAATATCCCCCCGCAAGTTGACGATGTGGAACAAACTGTCAGCTGGGACCTTAACAGCTTGAATCGTGTAGACGAGAGACCTTTAGTAAAGATATCGGCTGACTGATCAGCTGAAGAGATGAAGTGAACAGAGAGTTGTCCTTGTGCTAGACGTTCTCAAATGAAATGATAGTCAATCTCGATGTGTTTGGTCCGAGCATGGAAAACTAGATTTGCCGTGAGGTATAATGCCGAGAGATGTCACACCAAAGCGTAGCTGGAGGAGGAGGGAGTGCATGGAGATCACGTGAGATATTCAATCCACATGAGTTCAGCTGTGGTGTCAGCGAGGCACTTGTACTTGGCCTTTGTGCTTGAGCGAGCAACTGTGCGTTGTTTTCTGAAACACCAAGAGATAAGGTTGCGACTAAGAAAAACACAGTAAGCACCAACCGATCTACGATCATCAAGATCACCTGCCCAACTAGCATTAGAAAAGGCGTGCAAAGCAGTTGATAGACTTCGAGTAAGACGTAGACCAAGGCAAGGAGTCTTTAGCCAGGTAGCGTAGAATGCGCTTGACAAACTGCTAATGTGAAGTAGTAGGTGCATGGAGAAGTTGACAGGCAGTGTAAACAGAGTATGCAATGTCTGGCCGAGTTAGTGTTAAGTATTGGAGTGTGCCAACTATGCTCCGATAAAGAACGGGGATCTGGAAGTGGCTCACCGTGTCGAACAGAAAGAGGCTCATTCGTGGTGTAGGGGGTGGAAATA